TGCCTTAAAGATTTGGCGGCACTATTTGTACGGGGTTCATTGTGAGATCTATACTGATCACCGGAGTTTGCAGTACCTGTTCAAGCAGAAGGATCTTAATTTGTGCCAGTGGAGATGATTGGAGCTTCTCAAGGACTATGATATCACTAGTTTGTACCATCCGGGGAAGGCCAATGTGGTGGCAGATGCTTTGAGTCGCCGGGTGGAGAGTTTGGGGAGTTTAGCATATCTTCCAGCAGCAGAGAGACCTTTGGCATTGGATGTTCCGGCCTTAGCTGGCCATCTTGTCAGATTGGATATTTTGGAGTCGAGTCGGGTATTGGCTTATGTGGTCTCCAGGCCTTCTCTTTATGACCGTATCAGGGAGCGTCAGTGTGATGACCCCTACTTGCTCGTTCTTTAGGACATGGTTCAGTGAGGTGATGCTAGAGATGTAACTATTGGTGATGATGGCGTGCTGAGGATGCAGCGCCGGATATGTGTACCCAATGTGGATGGGATTCGGGAGTTGATTTTTGAGGAGGCCCACAGGTTGCGGTATTCCATCCATCTGGGTGACGCGAAGATGCACCAGGATTTGAGACAACACTATTGGTGGAGGCGGATGAAGAAGGATATAGTTGGGTTTGTGGCTCGGTGTCTCAACTGTCAGCAGATTAAGTTTGAACATCAGAGGCCAGGTGGTTTGCTTCAGAGGTTAGAGATCCCAGAGTGGAAGTGGGAGCGGATCACCATGGACTTCGTAGTTGGGCTCCCACTGACTTCGAGGAAGTTCGATGCTATTTGGGTTATTGTGGATCGGCTGACCAAGTCCGCGCACTTCATTCCAGTTGGTACTACTTACTTTTCAGAGCGGTTGGCTGATATTTACATCCGAGAGATTGTTCGCTTGCATGGTGTCCCGTTTCCATCATTTTAGATAGGGGCACTCAGTTTACATCGCAGTTTTGGAGGGTCGTGCAGCGAGAGTTGGGTACTCAGGTTGAGTTGAGCACAGCCTTTCACCCTCAGATGTACGGACAGTCCGAGCGCACTATTCAGATATTGGAGGACATGCTACGCGCTTGTGTCATCGATTTTGGGGGTCCATGGGACCAGTTTCTGCCGCTCGCAGAGTTTGCATATAACAACAGTTATCAGTCGAGCATTCAGATGGCTTCGTACGAGGCTTTATATGGAAGGAGGTGTAGATCTCCAGTAGGATGGTTTGAGCCGGGTAAGGCTAGGCTCTTGGGTACAGACTTGGTCCAGGATGCATTAGACAAGGTGAAATTGATTCAGGAGCAGCTTCGCACGGCGTAGTCTAGGTAGAAGAGCTATGCAGACAGGAAGGTCTATGATATGTCTTTCATGGTCGGAGAGAAGGTTTTGCTGAAGGTATCACCCATGAAGAGTGTTGTGAGGTTTGGGAAGAGGGGCAAGTTGAGCCCCCGGTTCATTGGGCCTTTTGAGGTGGTTCAGAGGATAGGGAGGTGGTTTATAATCTTGCCTTTCCACCCATCTTGTCGAGTGTGCATCCAGTATTTTACGTTTCTATGCTCCGGAAGTATATTGGTGATCCGTCCCATGTTTTGGACTACATCACAGTTCAGTTGGATAGTGATATGACTTATGATGTGGAGCCGGTGGCCATTTTGGAGCGGCAAGTTCGGAAGTTGAGGTCAAAGGTTATAGATTCAGTGAAGGTGCAGTGGAGAGGTCAGCCTGTGGAGGAGGCCACCTGGGAGACCGAGCGGGAGATACGGAGAAGATATCCACACCTATTTGAGGCTCCAGGTATGTTTCTAGACTCGTTCGAGGACGAACGTTTGTTTAAGAAGGGGAGGATGTAACGACCCAGTCGGTCGTTTCGAGAGTTATAGCCCCATTCCCCCATTTCCTGCTTCTTTTTGTGTTCTTCAGCTATATTATGATATACCGGGGTGGTTGGTTTGGGTTCGGAGTGATTTCAGAGTAAATTCATACACAGTCTCTTAGTTGAGAGCTTAAGTTGGAAGAGTTGACCGGATATTGACTTATGTGTAAACAACCTCGGATTTGAATTTTGATGGTTTCGTTAGCTCCGTTATGTGATTTTGGACTTAGAAGCGCGTCTGGAATGTGATTTGGAGGTCTGTGGTAGAATTAGGCTTGAATTGGCGAAAATTAGAATTTTGGCGATTTTAGCCAGCAGTGAAAATTTTGATATCGGGGTCAGATTGGATTTCTAGAAGTTGGAGTAGGTTCGTGGTGTCATTTTTAACTTGTGTGCAAAATTTGAGGTCATCCGAACGTGGTTTGGTAGGTTTTGGCATCTTTTGTGGAATTCAGAAGTTTAGAAGTTCTTATGCTTGAATCCGGCATAATTTGGTATTTTGATGTGGATTTGAGTGATCTAAAGGTTTGACTAAGTTTGTATGAGGTTATAGGATATGTTGGTATGTTTGGTTGTAGTCCCGAGGTCCTCGGGGTGATTCTGGGTGGTTAACGGAAGGTTTGGAGTTGGAGAAGTGCAGCTGAAGCTGCTGCTACTGGTGCTTTCCGCACCTGCGGAGTGGGAACCGCAGGTGCGAGGTCGCAGGAGCGAAGGAAGAGCCGCAGGTGCGGCTAAGGGAGACCTGGGCTCATACCGCAGGTGCGATGGAAATCCCGCATCTGCGGTGGTCGCAAAAGCAGTTTGGGAGGATCAGATGCGCAGATGGAACGCAAGTGCGGCTTGGGTCCCGTATCTGCGATGACCGTAGATGCGGTCAGGTAATCGCATGAGCGGAGTCAGGATTTTAATGAATTTCCGCAGAAGCAGAGCCCGGTTCGCAAATACGATTCTGCAGGTATGGAACTAGGACCGCAGGTACAGTTTAAACTGGGCAGAAAACCCCAGCTCAAGGCTTTGTCTTCCATTTTAAATTTTGGACTTGGGGAGCTCGAGAGAGAGGCGGTTTTTCGAAGGTTTTCAAGGAGGACGTTGGGGTAAGTGATTCTAACTCGTATTGGTCTAATTTTCGTGAATTTATGGCTTTGTTACTCATTTAATTAGGGATTGGAATTGGAAATATGGGGATTTAGGGCTTGGGAATTGGAGAGTGAACTTTGGGGTTTTGGAGGGGCAATTGAGGTTGGATTGTGGTAAATTTGGTATGACTAGACTCGTGAGTGAATGGGCTTTCGGGTTTTGTGACTTTTGTTGGATTTCGAGACGTGGGCCCGGGGGGCCGGGTTTGAGTCGATTTTGGATTTTTAGTCTAATTTGATAGTTTTCTTGTGGAATATACCCCTTAACCTATATTAATCGTATTGTATTTCTTGTGTCTAGATTCGGGACGTTTGGAGGCTGATTTGAGAGGCAAAGGCGTCACAGAGTAGGACTTTTCTTAGCTTGAGGTAAGTAACATTTTCAAACTTGGTTCTGAGGGTTCGAGACCCCAAATTATATGCTATGTGATTGGTATTGAGGTGACGCACATGCCATGTGACGGGCGTGCCAGCGTGCACCGTGAAAATTATGATCTGGTGATTTCATGGCACCGTTTAGTGACTCTATCCTGTTGATATCCATGTTTTCATCAGGTGATAAAGTAGTTGAGTTGTAGATCGTTCTAGATATCATGTTTAGGCTTTGTGCCAGTATTGGTTGGACACTTAGCGGTCGTTTCTTGTTGTCATCTCATTAGTTTCATTTACTATTCCATAATCAGTCATGATCATGTATTTTTATATCATATCTCGGTCTCAGTTATTTATTGATTCATCATATCATTGTTCAGGGTTGTTTTCATGACATTGTGAGCCCGTGGTAAGACTGGAGAGGTTGATGACTGAGTGAGGCTGAGTGCCTGGTTATGAGTGACAGTTATGGGATCGGGCTGCACACCGCAGTGGTTATATTGATGATTATGATAGCGCTTGGGCTGTAGGATCCCCTCCGAAGTCTGTAACACACCCCCAGTGAGTGCGGATGATATTATTGAGGGATGGATTTCCCTGGACATGGATTTGTCCGAAGTACTTGATACCTGGAGATGGATTTTTCCACAGGGTTGGATTGCCCTTTGTCCTTGGTACTGGTGACTTATAGTCAGTGTTGTATATGTTCCGGGATGGATTTCCCTGGGCCAGATTGCCATATACAGTACCTAGTGGTTGAATACTTGAGAGTGGAGCACATGGTGCAATTCATACAGTCTGTGCATTAGTATGTAGAGATAGCTGAGTTTTATACCTTTCACTGTTTTGCTCTGTATTTCCTTTACCTTACCTCGTGTGCAGATCCAGGCGATACCGGTCGTAGCGGCGGTTGCTGATTGAGGATCCTAGAGTTTTGGAGACTATCAAGGTAGTTGCACTGCGTTCGCGGGCCTTGACTCTCCTTCTTTATATTTGTCGTACTTTCAGTTTATATCTCTAGACACTGTAGTAGACTGTATTTCTGATCTAGACGCTCATGTACTCAATGACACCCTGGTTTTGGGCTGGATTGTATCACTTTGGGATTTTCTTATGTTTCAAACAGTTTTTCTTTAATGTTAAATGCTTCTGTTAATGTTTTCAAACTTATCGTTGTTGGTGTTGGGTTGTTGAGTTGAGGCTCGCCTAATTTCACGATAGGCGCCATTACGACGGTTGATTTTGGGTCGTGACATTTATACAGCAAATTAAACAATATAGTTGGTGGACATGATTGGTGTGAGTTAGCAGTAGTGTACACTCTTGAAGGGGAACCTTGGAGTAACTGGTAAAGTTGCTACCATATGACCAGGTGGTCACGGGTTCAAGCCATGGAAACAGCCTCTTGTAGAAATGCATGGTAAGACTGTGTACGATAGACCTTTGTTGTCCGGCCCTTCTCCGGACCCTGCGCATAGCGGGAGCTTAGTGCACCCGGCTGCCCTTTTTAGCAGTAGTGTACACTCTATTGAAAATCTAATAAGACATGTTATGGGATGGTAGACACATCAGGTCAAGACTTTTAATGCCTATAAATATACTAGTAAGGGTAGTCCGGACTTTTTCCGAGCCCAACATGAACAAAGCTTTACTATTATAAATTGAGGTATAGTGACAATATCCGCAAGGAATGAGCTTGTGTCCAAAAGAGAAATAGAAGATTATAGAGTTATCACATAAATGTTACTCTTTATAAGCCATCTATTTCTGATTTTGTTATTTCATGTCAGTGGAATGCTTTGGATGTACATACCAACAAATACAGAAGCCTTAATGCCAAAGTCATATGGTCTTCCAGCAGTACCTGCTGATATGGATCTGTGCAAGATAGCAACAATTAGAATTTTTATCAACAAAGATGATAAACTATTAAATCAAATCAACTCTAGCAAAAGTGAAATAAAGGTAGCCACTATATAATTAGAAGACATAATTGTAAAATGTGTAGATAAACATTATGTTTAAGCAAGGACTTGACAGACCACCTGTACAATACTCTAAAAACATCGTATAGTATGCTTATGAGCATGGACATAGACAAGTTAGATTAACAATCCTATAACAGAATATTAAGTTTCAAATGACGGTTGAACAAGAAATAAAATATAAAAGATAGTAGTTGTTATTCTTCATGACCATCCAGATGTAGATGTAGCTTATGCTGCATAGCATATATGACATTTTCGGTTTAGAGTACAAGGAAAATGAAATGGAATATACCAGTTCACCAGCTATTATGGTCGTTAATGCATCAGCAGACTACCCAGTAAGTGTAATAATTGCGGCATTACTGAGGGTTAATTCAGAGATGAATCTGAAAATATCAAAACTACCCACAGTCTAACAGCAACAATAGTTTTTTCTATATAAAGAGAACTTATGAGAAACAAATATCCAGTTTTACTATTCAATCAAAATGAGAGAAACCTTGACGGATTTAGAATCTAGCAAGTTCTGACATATAAAAATAACAACAAGGTTTTGTTCGTTGTTTAAATATGCAATTTCATCTTTTCTGTTGTACATAATTTCTATAACTTTTCTGATTAGCCTATTAAAAGATTGATTTCATTGAATGACACTTTACCGTAAAATGTTAAGTTTTTTCTGCTTTGATGGGCTATACATGTATTTTAATTTGCTCCAAGTGCTTTATGTGTTTGTTTGAGGAATTTCATATTTGTGCAGTGTTGTTAACCCCGGGAAAAAGATAGCTACAAGTTCACATGTTTTCCTCTAAAGAAGTTCACATGTTTTAGCACCAGCAGGGATGTCAGTGATTATAACTTTTAATAAGGACAGTGGCAATGTAAATACCAGATGCCAGTGAATATAATAACACAACAATCTTCTCCTACGGATGCTTCTGCAATCAGCTTTTCCACTAAGGATTCCTCTTTTGTATCTTCTTTATATGTTTGTTCCTTCGGTCAGAAGACATTTCTTCACAAACTTATTACTGTGAGATATCTGCATTTCAAATAGTTCACAGAAATCAAGCCAAAAGTACCTCAGTAGACTTTAAGAAGGAGAGTTTACTGTTTATTCTACTGACAATGGAAAGATAGATGAATTCAATACAGGGCTACGACAAAGTTATTCCATTGCAAAACATACTATCATTTAAAAATTGAATAAATGTGTATTTTGTTTTGGTATGTTAGTTTCATTCTTCGTGTGACGAGTTTAAGACAACTTTTAAAGTGAAAGACTGAAGTTAAAGTAGTAAACTTTTGAAGTGACAACATATATGAAAGTAATAGGTACCATAATTAGACTGTTATTTCCCTAATGTCTTAAACTTACACACCAAATTTAATAATGTAGGAAAACTTTGTCAAAACACAGTATATCGTTTATTCTACTGGAAACTATCAGAATGTTGAGAAATATAGCAGGGGCAAGCATGGAAAAAGTTAGTAAATCTGTGGCAGAATCATAAAGAGCAGTAAATCAGAAGTATTTTTCTTTTTTTAACTGGACCTATGTATATCTGGGCTACACTCTGACTAAGGTTATGTTCTATAGTGAAAACTGGATTCTGTATTAGTAACTATTAGATCTAGAGGTTATTTTAGTGTTTATCTTATCTTTTATCGACGAACTTCGTGTTTCTAAAACTACACAAGATCAATTTACATTTGTAAGAAATCTACAAATTCTTTCGTCGTCAGAATTGTGTAGAAGGTAAATAGTTTATAATTAAAGAAATAAAATTGAAAATACCTCGATAGTAACAGCAGAGCAATTTCTAGGACTGTAGCGAGCTAGGAGCCAACCCTCTCCATATGGACACTTGTTCTCAGGATCGTGCACACATATGTTCTAACTATTTGCACTTAGTAATCATGCCTATAGGAATTTTTATGCAACATGTTCTTCAAATGTTTAAGCAAAAAAGCAGGTTTCCTTTTAACACTGTTTCGTTGAAGCTTTCTGTATAAAGGACATGTGCAAAGTCTTATGATCTCATAGCTAAACTACAATCTCATAGCTTAAACATTCACAGTGAGAAACCGCTGTTCTACATGTGAACTTCCCATCACTGTAAATTTTCCTCTTTACAGTTTGCATCAGATCTGACAATAAACTTTTTGGTGATCTATGGCGTAAAAATCAAATTAAATTTAAGTAGTTTGCCACAGACTGCCAATAGAGTGTTATCCAGCTGTAAAATGTCAAAATTTGCAAGGATCAAACCAATTTTTGCACAAATTACCCATTTGCATGTCAATAAAACAAATCAATTACAAAGCTGGGCGAAGCAATCAGACGACAGTAAACATTCAAAAAACAAAGTGAAATATTAAAGCAAAAAGAAACTTACAGAGGAATTAAAGGCCATAGGAAGAACACAAAACCAGAAAGTCACAAGAACAGAGATGAAACTTCGTCATACGAAAACATAGATCAGTAAACTAAGTTTTGAACTATCGAATTACCTTAGAATAACAAAACTTGAGCGTTGACGTGAGGAGAGAGAAAAAAGATTAACCAAGAGAGCCCAGTGGTGACTGACATCGTGACAAGTTAGCGAAGTAGCTGTGGACTCCACTTCAGATCAGAACACGTCAACAACAAAAACGGGCACAATAGACAATTTAAGCATAACAACGCATGAAATGACCAATTTACTCTCGTGAGAAAGCAAGCATGTTGACGGAGAGCTCTCTGCTATTCCCTTTTCTAAGAAGTAGGAATGTCTAGGATCTCTCACATCTCATAGCCAAACGTTTCACAGTTTTAGAATGTTTCCGCATTGATAATGAAGACTACTTTACAAGTATTGTGTCTTTATCTCCCTTATAGTGAACTAGTTTGAAGATTTACCTCATGACAAAGGTGACATGTTCCCTTCATTTTCATGATTTTTGCACTTTGCTTCTGCCATGGCTTTAGCAAAGCTTTTGTCTGAGAGTAACCATTGGATTTGAAGAACTAACAAAGCCAGGAGAACTATCCTTTTGGGATTTAGTTAGAAGAGTCAGTAGATTTTCTTCATGGAAAATAAGCACTCGAAGGTGCAAATTTTGAAATGGAGCGAGAAAATAGTAATGGTACTGAACGCGAAGGATTAAACATGGGCTCTAGCTACAACGTTTTTACTGTAACCTTAACCCTTGTTTTTTTATTTCAAGAAATCTTTCAAACTTGGAATACGTTAAATTAATTAATCCCTTATTTGAAAAATGACTTCCTATATAACAGAGATGTTCTTAATTTTATGGCGAAACACAATCTCATCTCAATATTCTCATTTCATAGCCAAGCATTAAAATAATTCAATATACTTAACTGGACTAAAGAGATGTCAAGAGCATCTTAAGATTTCAACTTACCTGCGGAAACACAATCTACTATGATGCGAAGCAAAACTCATTTATTCTCAAAATACGTCTCAAAGTAAATAGAAATGCACAAATAAGACAATATCTTCAAACATAGGACACAAATAAGCAACAGAAAATATTCTAAAATGCAACATAGAAACAAAAAACGAAAGAGTTGAGACCAACTTCAACTCTCCGCCACCGCGCATCCCCACACTTCAAGCAAATACCATGTTGATTTATAGAAAACCCTGTGCCTTTTCATTTTCTATCAGCCGCAGCATGGGATGTTAATCTTTATGCAAACCGGAAGAAGAGGGGCACATCTCGTGATCTGATTATCTCTCATCACAATGAGAAATTCGAGGATCGTGTAAAAAAATACTATTTACAGGTTAGAATTGGGTGTATAAATAAAATGAATCCACTTGGAACAATGATGTGATGTAGATCAGCGGTCAAGCAGGGTCATCTTTGAAGAAGGAACTTAGTTCGATGCTTGGCAGAGGCGAAGGCGAAGCCTTATTCTCTTTTCTTAATCTTTTGAAGTTACAGTTAATAAATACAATTCTAATTCTAGACCCCTAGGTGTAGGAGTAGCAGACTTCTAGTGACTGAATGTCGTATTTTTTTGTTGAATAAGTTCAACATGATAATATATTAAAATTACTAGCTCAGTTTTCCTTTTAAATTAATTATTTGAGAGTTACATTGAAATTGTTCTAATTTTTTTAATAATAATTTAGGTTACACATTTATAGTTTGTAAATAGTACTTCTATTTTACTTGGTTTAAATTCCTCTTTAATTTATAAAAGTTGTGTACCTTTTTCATCTTCTTTGATATAAATGAAGGTTAGGTTAGTTCGTTAATTTATTTATTTATTGTTTTAGTAAATTGTTTGTTTATTTTGTTTGTATTTTATTTATGGCGTTAATTGCGACATTAGTTGCTATTGTTATTACCTAATTATAAGAGTAAACATAAATATTTAAATTTGTAATTAACAAGGTATGGAAGAATCAGATTGGTATATTATTCCATGTAGTGATGCATATATATACATGTACATCATGTGCTAACTAAGGAAAGAAATAAATGAGATTCCTACAAATCTGCTATTTATATATGGGTTATGTACACTACTAAGAAACCGTCTATGTTCATTGTGTAAAGTGTCTAGGTTCATTCTGTAACACTCCCCCTCAAGCTGGAGCATATATATTGATCATGCCCAACTTGTTACAAAGGTAATCAACTCGAGTGCCATTCAATGCTTTAGTGAACAAATCAACTAGCTGCTCTCCTGTTTTCACGTAGCCAGTGAAAATCAAGTTCTCCTAAATCTTCTCACTAATAAAATGATAGTCAACTTCAATATGTTTGGTTCTTTCATGATACACTGGATTTGAGGCAATATGGAGTGCCATTTGTTTATCACACCGGAGTTTTGATGGAGTAGGATGCTTCAACCTAATTTCAGTTAAAAGGTGATGTATCCACATTATCTCACATGTTGATTGTTCCATAGCTCTATACTCGGATTCTGCATTGGACCTAGATACAATATTTTATTTCTTACTTCTCCATGATACCAAGTTTCCACCAACAAATACACAGTAACCAGTAGTAGATCTTCTATCAATCTTGGATCCAACCCAATATGCATCTGCAAAACAATCAATGCGAGAATGACCGTGTTTGCTGTATAATATACCAAGTCCAGGAGCTCTTTTTTAAGTAACATAGGATTTGCTACAAAGCCTCCCAATGTTTAACTGTGGGCGCGGACATGAACTGGACTACCATACTCACTGCAAAAGCAATATCTGGATGAATCACAGTGAGATAGTTTAATCTCCCAACTAACCTCCTATATCTATCTGGATCATTAAATGGATCGCCATCATCTTTCATAAGATGCAAATTAGGAACCATTGGAGTACTGCAAGGCTTGGCAGCCAGCTTACCAGTTTCTGCTAGTAAGTCAAGAATATACTTTCTCTGAGATAGAAAAATTCCCTTCTTGATTCTAGTTATTTCTACTCCCAAGAAGTGTTTTAGTTGTCCCAAGTCTTTTGTATGAAACTTAGTATGCAAAAAAGACTTGAAAGAAGAGATTCCTGCATAATCACTCCATGTGATAACAATTCCATCCACATATACAACAAGGAGAATAGATCCAGCTGTTGATTGCTTGTAGAAGACAGAATGATCATATTTTCTCTTTTCAGCCCAAATTCTTGATTTGCTTCACTAAATTTATCAAACCAAGCCCGGGGACTCCACTTCAAGCCATATAAAAATTTCTTCAAATGACAGACCTTGCCATACTCCTCCTGATCAACAAAACCAAGTAGTTTCTCCATATATACCTCTTCATGGAGATCGCCATGAAGAAAAGCATTCTTAATATCCAATTGATATAAAAGGCCAATTCTCAGAAGCAGCTAGAGAAATGAATAAGCGGACAGAAGTATGTTTGGCAACCAAAGAGAAGGTGTCTGAATAATCCACCCCATAGGTCTGAGCATACCCCTTAGCTACAAGTCTGGCCTAAAGTATCGTCACAGAGCTATCATGATTAACTTTGACCATGAAGACCCACTTGCATTCCACTACTTTCTTTCCATCGGGTAAATCCACTAAATTCCAAGTGTGGTTTTTCTTTAAGGCATTTATTTTCTCAAGCATTGCTTCAGACCATCCAGGATGATTCAAAGCCTCCTTCACTATTTTGGGTATAGAAACAGAGTCTAGAGACACAATCAAAGATCTAGATGCAAGAGACAAGTGGTCGTAGGAAACAAAATTAGTAATAGAATATGTGGATTTACAAGTACGTATTTTTTTGCGAAGAGCAATTGGAAGGTCAAGGTTTTCTGGAGGGTCAGGTGGAGGCAAATCTGATGATGAAGGAACTGGTGCAGAATATGTATCATTCATCCGTTGCCTCCGCGAGTAAACTTGAACAATTGGCAGTCTTGCTAATACAGTTGGAGCAGGTGCTGAAGGCAGAATTGTGGATTGGTGCTTGATAGAAATAGGAGATGGAGGAGCATCATCTCGTTGTTTTGTCAAAGTACGAGTAACTTAATATACTAGTCACTCATCTTCCTCCTGACTAAAAAGTATTAATGTTGTTCACACTTGCATTCAAAAGCACATCTCACAAGAGTTAAACTTCTGTTCCCTCCATCTCATGAACAAAATATTGAAAGGGAAAGGATTATAGTGGAATAGATATCAGAGTTCTTAGATTCAAGCCATGGGAATGACAAAGATAAAAAGCACTTCCCCCTTTAATAAGCTTTACACAGTATGAATCCAGATTAGTCGGAACCCCAATGTGGGTATAGAAGACCAAAAAAAGATATTTTATTTTCTCAACCTCAATTCGTTCCCTCGTTACCAAAAAGGTACAGTAGTTAGAAATGCATATGAAATACATTATCAATGGGGATGCTAATCTTATCACTATTACACACATAAATTATATAGACAAACTCCAAGACATCTAATGAAGAATATATTTATTAAATGAACTTCCACAAGTTTATAAAATTTGCCAATTCATCCCCTTCTTTAACAAAACTCATTGATCAGAAAGCACCATATTCTTCCTTCTTAGCCTCAAAATCACATATCGGTTGCTGAGATGGTCGAGAGAGAGACCAGGGTCGAGGCTTCCCGAGCAGCGGAAGATATCCCGAGGGACGAGCTTGGACTGATCGATATGTCTAGATCCCCTCAAATTTCAGACGCTATGATCCGCGAGGCCTATACATTGGAAGGTCTCTCTTACGAAGGTATTCAGGGGGCGACCAATATCCATGGCTTCTTAGATGGGTTTGAGTCTCCTCCCTCGGAGAATGCCACCGGATTTGGTGGTTTATCGGTACCGAAAAAAGTACCGACATCGGGCACTACCGGTTCTTCATCAAGCCAAAATCTAGTGGACCGATTCCAAGCCCCAAGTGTTAACCCCGATCTCAGGCGGAATATAGTGCTTTCTATCCCGGAGGATTCCCGATTTTTCTCCTCCCGTGGGGATTGCTAGATACCTTCAATCCTTGGTGGCCGAGGAAGATCAAGCCGTAATAAACGTGGTAGGAGCTGCTCGCTTGTTTAATAAGGCCCAGCATGCTCTAAATCGGGTAACTTCGAGAGACTCTCATTATTCCTTTTAAACTTTGGACCTGTAGATAATTTTAACATCTTCTTTATTATTTTCAGGCTTCGGTGTTGCATCATGAGGCTTTCCTCCGAATCAGGGAAGAGCACAAGGATGAGGTTCGGGACCTCACTAAGAAAAATGATACTTACAATCTTCTCAATGAGAAGCTTCAGAATGATTTAGTGACGGCTCAGGATGAGCATGCCGAGATGGCCGAATAGGTATTCCGACTTCTTCACGATAGTGAAGATGAATTGGAGATAACTACTAATGATCCGATTTTGCAGGTCCGGCAGAGGCTCGAACAAATCAGATGGCTCCAGACGCAGGTAGATGCGATACAGTCCGAGGCTGAAGATTTCAAAAAGAACATTGACATCTTAGCCTCGAAAAAGGAATCCGTCCAAGAGCAATTGGAGTTAGCCGAGACCCAACTCCAAGCTGAAAAAGAGAAGGCCTTGGTGCAGGTCAAGAAAATTGAGGAGCTTCAGTCTCGGTTAGATTTGGCCGTTTCTGATAAAACAAGCTTGGCCAATGAACTCGAAGTGGTCAGATCTAAGGTGGTCGTGGCCAAATCCGAGGTGACCGTGGCCAATAAAAAAGCTGATGCTAAAGTGGCCCAGTTAAGGGTCGATGTCGAGGCCATCCAGGCCAAGGCCAAGGGCATGGTGGATCACGCAAAATGGCAAGCTCGAAGGGAAGTCCTGGAGGGAGTTCATGCCCATGGTTTCGATATTATAGCTGAGCTCGAACCTGCCAAAGCAGAGGAAGCCAGGGCCCGGAGGCCGTCCTTCCCTGAGTATGATTCCGAGAGCTTAATTGAATCCGAAGATGGAGAAAATCCCGAGGGTGGAGATACATGCTCCGATGAAGACCAAGACACTTAGGACATTTTTAGCATTTTTTCTGAGGCCATTTTTTACCATTGTAAATTTTCGTATTTAGGCCGATTTGGTCTTTGTACAAAACTATTGTGTAAATATAAGGCTTTTCTTTCCCTTTCGGCTCTCACATATTTCCTTTGCTTTGTTATTTGTATTTACAAAGATTGAAATGCCTTAGCATGAAACAATAAGGTTGTGTTCGAGGATTCAAACAAACCTTGCCTTTACTGCCTTTCTGGGTTAAGGCATTATTGAGGTTCGATGTTACCAAAGTTTCTCTAAAAATATCTTAAGTTTGAGACTCTGCTGAGGGTAGCCTTTAGAACTGGTTGTGAAAGATTTCTCTGTTTCGAAGGCCTGTTTTTGTTACGGATTTCGGACGTCTCCGAGCCGTTTTAAAATGGCCGTAGCCCTTTAGTTCAAGAGTTACCCATTGGGCTTGTTTTCTCATTTTATCTGAG